CCCCCCCCCAACCCGTGTTTCTGGTATGCCACCAATCTCTTTAATCAACAACCGCCACCTCCCCTTTCAGTGCGTACATAATATAATGAAGGATGGTCCCAACTATAAATATATATATATATATATATATATGTATACACAAAAACCCATCGTTTTTCTGGGTCCATTCAATGCGGGGCCATAAGGGCTAAAGCTTCCACAACCGAATTTTTTTTTTTTTTTTTTTTAATCGGACAAAATTACACAAATATTTTTTCAACGGGTCTCTGAAAATCGTAGTTTTGGCGGGTCTCGGCGTACAATCGTAAAAGACATCTAAAAATCGTACATTGTACGCCAAAATCGTAAGAGTAAACAGGTCTGCATTTACCTTTGGTATTGAAATATCCTACATTTAATCACATATCACACTATTCCAAAAGATAATTATTATATAATCAACAGTATTCTCAAAGAAGAAACACACTTTCTGCCACAATAATCCAAGAATTACATGAGCTTTTACTAAAATTTAATAATAAAACATTGTAATTACCTCAAGCAAATAACTAGAACTTAATTAAAATTCTATCAACAGCCAAAGTTGATTCTAACAATAAATGTTGATCTGTGAAACAACTTTACTAACTTAAAATAAATGACTTACTATTTTTTGTCATATTCACACATTCATATGGTATGGGACTAAAATACATTATATAGAAAATGGTAAAATAAAAAGTGTAATAGTCAATTTTATTTTATTGAAACAAATAATCTCTTTATTGTTAGTATATACTTATAAGTTTTAAACAATTCCACAGAAAATTTGAAATTAATATCTTAAGAATGTTTTATTATTATTATGATTTTTTGGAAATTGAAAAAAAATATTTATACATAATTAATTAATTAATTACAAATAATTGACGAGTCAGCATATTTCATATATTTTTAATAGGAAAATAATAAAGATTTTTAAAATAATTTTTTGCGGAATATTAACAAAAACTAATTTATATTTTGTGGTTTTATTTAGAAGTGCTCTAATTAAAATGTGTTCCCTGTAAATATTATATTTTTGTGTCATTTTATAATAAAGTTATAGGCCTTAAAAAAAAATCAAAATGAGGGTCACGAAATGTGGAGGAAAATCCCATAGTAAAAAAGGGCCTTTGAGGTCCCTACTAAAAAATTCATAACTTTTGAACCACTTGAGCTAGAAAGTTGATCTTGGTGTTTTTGTAATCTATTCTCCGAGCTCTATACAGCTGTAGTATTTTTATATTTTAAAAAATGTTTTGAAATTTTAATCAAAGTGTCTACTCTATGGTGTTGGTGTGTGCGCCCGTTTCAGAGTGTTTGAACTCAATTGTATGGTTCACCCTCAGGTGGTGAAAACCTACAGTTGTAAGACCTCCAACAATCAGAAATTATTGTGGTTCCTGGCTGCACTAATTCTTGAATTATTGCCAGGAGGACGTCTTTACCGCGGTTCTCAACAACCCTGAAAAAGATTTTGTTTGATCCTCTTTCAATCCCACCAACACCTATTTTCCTTCTACGCGTTTGCCTCTATGATATTTCCGCTTGCCGAATTTGGATTCATCCATCTCCACTATTTCACCCACTCCTAAACTCTCACTCATCACAACACACGCTTCCATGCAGACCTCGCCACAAAAGCTGACCCAGTCTTTTACGGTACCCTGACAAATGCTTACTTGATTCTTTCGCAATATGTCCCAAAGGCATTTTTCTTAAACAAAAATGTGTCTAACATAAAATGTCACACGTCAATCTACTGTCACTAAAACACGACCCCTTCCTTAAACTATGCACAATATTGCCATGACTTTTGTCACCACATTGCCATACAAACTCATCTGAAGCATTTGTCATTTGCCCATGCACACAAGTTCATACCCTTATTACAATGGGGACATTCGTATCTATCTGCAATGAGACCGGTACTCATGACTCATGAGTCATGAGCCAATCTATCACACTCCTTTCGCCCTGACTTTCCAGACGATTCCAAAAACGGACGTTAAATTCAGGCTCCATCAGCATAAATTTACCCAATATCTATCTAACTAAAACTGCTGACGATGCAAAAAAAAACAACAACCAATTTTGAACTTACCGGGCACAAGATAAAAAAAAAAAGGTAGCCTACAGTTCATGAATCTTTTGTCATTTACAACGCCATTGTGGGGGGAAAAAAAACAAGGAGAACTCTTCTGTCTTCAAAGATACGTTATAAAAGTTGCCCAATTGGATATATTTAGATTTAAATAATTTTTTTAACATTATAGATCTATTGATATTTCTTACTAGTCCACTGCATGGATCATGCACTACAATGTAAAGGTGGTACTCGCAAGGGACCTCAATATCAGGGGGCGCATTCACCCAGGGCGCTGCTTTTCATTTACACGGTTGTGCATCCATTTCGGACAGAACGCGGCTCGAATTTTGAGGGTAGGGACATGGGCGCCAGCAGAAAACTTTCTGGGGGGGGGGGGGGGGGGGCGTTGTTCTTTATAGGGGG